TCGCCGCCGCACCCACGGTGAAGTAAATAGTGAAACTGCAGTCCAACGCGATCGTATCTTATCTGGATTGTTGGCTAGAATTGTGGGCTGGCTTATTGTTGGCTGGCTTATTGTTGGCTAACTTGACTCAAGTGCGAGTGCTCTTATTGTGATGTGAACGTCTGGAGCGTTGCTAAGCATTATAACGCTCTTGGATCGACGACAGGCACGGTGGATCATGTTTTAAAAAGACAACAATGTCTGAGTCGCAAATAAACCATCGTATGATTCGCACAGACACCGGACAAAATGCTTATGAAGCCTTTGAAAATCAACTTAGAACACTGTGTCTTAATGAGTTCCCATGTGGCCTGGGCACATGGGTAAGTACTCTGTTTTTACACAGCAGCAGAACAAAAAAGGCCTGTCTACCGTAGGCCTACACTTAGGCCTAGGGCCTAGGTTAGTAGTGCAGGCTATCCTAGGCTATTCAACTCCACTCTTAGGAGTGGAGTTGAATAGCTCTGTGGTTAAAATGTTTGCCTTCTTATCCCAGGTTCCTGTGTTCAATTTCTGTCACAGCAGGACTTTTTCTCACGACAAAACCAACTCCACTCACATCAAAAACTTAAGTTAGTTAAGGCCTAGGGCCTAGCCTGCCGGTATATAAAGCATCATTCTCATCCTGTAAGTGCAAGTGTACTTGCTGTTGGATGTGAAGGAAATAAAAACAGTGTGGCGGGGGCTAAGCCTGTGCTTAGATTCTTAAAAAAAAAAAAACAAATAAAAAAACGCTCGGTGTATTCCTCAATCAAAGTCAAAGGTCGACTCTGGTCAAAAACCCGCCCGAGATCATCCCACGAGACTTTCTCTAGCCTAACTAGGCCTAGGCTGCTATCTATAGGCCTAGCCTATCCTAGGTAGGTAACAGGTATATTGTAGTAACTTCTGACATGTTTTTTTTCCTACAGCGAACAGATCAAGATTCTGTCCCCAACACACAATCTGTTGTAACATTGAAGGGTAAGTCAGTACTCACACAAATCCATAGTAGCTTAAACTGTACATGTATGGACAAATATCTACAGATCAATGTAATTCATGTTGCAATGGTCTATTCCACCATCCAATACATATCCCTGTAGCTTAATTAATTGTAATAAATTGGCCTACACTTATTTTTAAAATATTTGTAACATGCTAGTAATTTTGCAATTTATATTGGAAATATCTGTGAAAGCAAAGATTAATTTATGATTATTTAATAATGTATTATTGTTATTACTTAATAATTATTTTCTATTTGATAGACTATGGCATTCAAAAAGAACAGGGTGAGGTCTTGGAAGAGTTGATAACATCTAAATTTTCACCCTATAGTGTTGACTACAGCTGGAGCGATGAGGCTCAGAAGCTCCGGGAGACAGCGGTGCAGACTCCTTGGGTTGTTACTGAACAATTTATTCAAAACCATTTCAAAACATTAAGGATTGTTGACAAACAAGTGAGCAGTTTTAATTATAATTGTTTGTCATGGAAATAAAATTTCTTTTAAGATACATATAGTCTGAAGTAACATGAAAACTAATTAAAACATTAAAATGATGTATTGTATGTTGTACGTGTGATACATTTGTACATTGTATCCTTTGTTAAATTTATATCCTCTTTCTGATACATTTGTATCCTCTTACAGGTAAATGAAGTTGATGAAAGGCTGTTACAATTTCCAAATTTGAAAGAATTAACATTAAGTGCCAACAACCTAGAAAGTTTAAATACCAGGCATATACCAAGATCTTTAGAGGTAGGACTACTGTACAGTTCAGCTATTTTGAAAGGGTAATTTCATACAGCACCATGGCTATTTCCACTTACAGGATTGGTTAGTGTTCACACCGAATAATGATTTAATATTAATAATGATATTGTACATATTGAAACTGCAAAACGTCATTAAAAATATAAAACACCATGAAAACATTTTTGTATATTATTATTATTATGAAATATTCACTAGGGGATGGGGTGGGGTAGATTGCATGTTGTTAAATATTCATCCAGCAACCATGAATTGTAATGTTGCAAGCACCTTGATATGGTGGTGGTAGACAGCAGAAAAACAAGACACACATACGGTGAACATCTTTACTTGAAGAGGTATGTTCCATTGAAGCAGTAAGGTAATGCAGTATAGTAAGTATTGACCTTCTCATTTTGTATACAATATTTAGACTAACATGGTTTTTAAATACCAAATATTATTATTATACAATTTTTACAACATGCTGATGTATATTTTCAAAGGTTCTGGAGCTTGTTGCTAACAACATAAGTGACCTTCGGCCCCTGTGTGACGACCCACCTTTAAACCTGCAACATCTAGGTCTTGGTCACAACAAAATTGCCTTCTTATCGGACTGCCTTACAGAATTTTATTGGTAAGATGATGTCATAGCTAATTCAATATTCATATAGTACAAGCATACATTTATAAAAAGTTATTAAATTGCTTGCACAGTATGTACAATGAACCATGGAGTCTTTGTGTCCCTGGTTTTATTCCATCAAGCTCCCAGTGATTACAAGGTGAACCACACCACCCTTTTAAAGATATTAAATCATCATTTCTGTGAACAACATCATTTGTGTGCACATCGCAGACATCTTCTGAAAAGCAAGGGTTGTCTCAGTGTACGGGATCCCCAAATGACCAGATCATAGTTATTTAGAAATTTGTTTTAAACGGGGAAAAAGGAAAATTAAAATAAATTTTAAGTCTGAGATTGCCATTTCTGGCAACATTTCATACTTCAGGGGACCCTTCATATGTAAAGTCACCTTCATGGAACCTATTTCTAATTTTGTTAATCTCATGTGTATTCAGTGCTTGTGCTGATATGACAGTTTGATATCTCTGGGGTTTTTTCTAGGCCTAATTTACTGTCTTTGGACCTAAGCCATAATAATCTTAGTGGTCTGGTAGATATTGTCCAGCAACTTTTATCTCTGAATAAACTGAGAAACTTGAGCCTGATAGCCAATCCACTTGCAGTAAGTTTTTTATTTCATTTTCATGCATTCTTTATAAATATCTCAATTATTTTCTACAATTTTGACACCTTTCTAACTGCTTTACTTTAGTACCACTACCATTAATTGTTAAAATAACATTTAAACTGTGTTTTTTTTATATAGTTGATCCCTGGTTACAGAGGATTTGTGGTTGACAGCTTCAGGCAACTTTTAATCCTAGATGATGTCAGGATTAGTGCTGATGAAAAACATCATTTTAAGGGATTAGCAAGAAGAAAGGGTAATTAATTATCAATTTATCGCCATTAATATTAATTATTAGCAGGTTATTCAAGTGTTGTGCAACCATCCTCATAATAATATACAGGAATTACGATTACACTTTTCTTTTTCATTTCAACCAATATTCTGGTTTTGTTCTTTCCTGTTCTGGAAAGCAAATACAGACGAATGTAATAGGTGCTATACAAATGCGATTTGCCATTGCCTTTGACCATTTCACCAGCTATAACTCAAAATTTCCTATCCTTTGTGTTGGAGTGCACCCCCTATAATAATTAGGAAAATGCTGTGTAAATCAATAAGTCTTCTACCAGCTATTAAAATACTCAAGGCCTTTATGGTTATTACCAGCAGAATTAATTCTTTAAGCTAAACATTCTTATTTTTACTGGTTAAAACTAGTTAACTATGTAATCCATGAACATTTTGAAAGAAGCAGGCAGTCTTGGAGGAAAAATATATTTGTGGATTTTTCAAGTGATGTAATTGCTATCCAATTCCTTCTGAAAAACAGACTACAGTACTTATTTTTATTTGGGTGATAACAAGTTATTATTATTGTATTGTATTGACAAAATCAAATTATAATTTCTTTTTAGATCTAATTCTAGATGAGACTAAGTTATCAATACAGATTAATAAATTGAGTGGTGTCCCAATGCCGCAAGAAATGCTGGTAGGTCAACTAATACTAATCCCGGTATAGGAATTTATCATTGTAGACAATTATTTGACAGAAGAAAATTGATAGGGCAGGGGAGAATGCAAATCAAGATTATTAAAATTTTAAAAAATACTATAGAAACTATGAAAAACAAAGCAAGAGAAAAACCAATAACAAACATATCATCTGATGTTTGGTTAATTCTAGAGCCATAAGTCTATTGGATATACAGAATTACTACTGTACACCACAAGTAATGCTCTTAAGCTTGTGCAAGTTAATGTTTATTTTCTTTAACAATTTTTTCTTGATTTAGTTTTGTGTTTTCTTATGCTTTCAGGTTACTGAGGAGCTTCCTGAGTTTCCAATAATTGAGAGAAAATACTACATGGAATTTACCTTCCTGGAAGATAAAAAAACAATGGAAGCAAGAACAGAACAGCCGGAGGGGGAAAAACAAAGTGAAGAAAACAAAGGAGTTAATGAGGTCAGCTTATTACAAATTAATGGCCAGAACTGTTGCAGTCTATTGCAATATATCTTATTCTCTAATCTTATTAGTCCTTTAAAACTGAAGCCAGTCAAGGGTAAACAAATAATCAAATCCTTTAATTTCATGCATCTGCACATACTTACTAATTTCTTTATTTCATATTTTATATTTATATATACATATATATATATATATATATATATATATATATATATATATTTATTAAAATATTTAAGAAATAAATAATTCATAATTATCTAAAGTAATTAAAAGAAAGGAACAGATTTGTCTTGGATAATTATTACTTTTTATGATTATTATTATTAGGGCTACATGATAAAAGCTTTTTACTTGTTTTGTATGCCTTTTTCAAATTCCTTATGATCATTTTATAAATAATAATAATAATAATAATGTTACATTTAGCGCATATTACACATTGCCCCTATGCGCGTTACAGAGAAATAATATTTACTATAATTGTTTTATTTGAATTATTCATAAAGTATATTATAATATTTGTTGATGGAATCAGAAATAAGTTGTATATTGATTTATTGATTGATAACTATAATGTAAATAAATAAATCCCCAGTGACTAATAAAGTCCATGAAACAGAAGTGTAATAGTTTCAATGTAGCAAAGCACTTATGAATCAAAACAATTTATGGGATTTTTAAAATACCCCCTACTTTAATAATAAATCAACAACAATGTATATTTATTTTTATTGTAAATAAAAATTTTTAGGAGGGCGAAATAACAGATATTACAACAGCTGATGCAGCAGTAGGGGAAGTACCAGTTAATGAAACAGCTGCTATTACTATGAATACAGGTAGGTTTTAATTCATCCGGTCATATCATTTAATGACATTTACAGGTAATGAGGATGCAATACCTGCTTTAATTAAAGCATATAATGTAATTTATCCAATGCACATAAATAGATTGAGTACATGTTATATTTAACTACTATTATTGTTTACAAAAATGTTGTGATGCAGTGAGCAATTATAAATCAAAAATTAACAAATGTGGCCGACTTTCTAATGCATTCAATATGGTTAGCACTTGCATGAATTTTGTGATCAATGTTTTTTAAAAATCTCAAGATTGCAATCACTGTAGAAAGGAGCTTTCACTGCTATATTAGACCGCTTGCTCAGCTGTTAAGTTTTTTTTGCCTAGAAATTACTTTATTTAGCACCTACAGTAGCGGTGTAATCACTGTGTATAAGTGCCAAATTCCTAATACAATACAAATATGGATATCACAAAATTGAATTGATAATCAACAACTATATATTCCATTAATTTGCATTCCAGATGGAACATTCTTCACGGAAGCAGATGAAAGCTGCGGAAAGACTGCAAGTGATGCAAATGAAGCATTGACTTGCAATGATTCAATGCTACCAGTAAAACTCATCCAATACTGTACAGATAAACTTGCTTGGAATGAAGATGGCCTGGATTTTAACTTCAGTTTGGACCTGTCGTTTGATGACTTGAGAGCGTTGAAAGAAAGTCTTAGGCAGGGGTTACAAGTAGCTCTCAAAGAGGACAAGGTAGGAATTATCATCCATACTATCATTAACATTATTAGTGTTATTGTCATCATTATTCAACTTTTATTGCCCACAAACATGAAGCCTAAATCTAGGTACGAAGGTCATTACTCTCCCCTGTGCAGTTTGGTTAATAAAATAACAATGTTATACTTTTATAGTGCAAAATGCTAGAGATTTGACGTGCTTAAATTAAATATTTAAAAAAAATAAGAATTTACTCTTCATTGCAAACTTAACTCATACCCAAACAAACATGCATGCAAACGCTCAACTTTTTCCTTTTTGTATTGAAGATAGCAATAGTCAAATTTGTACAAAACTCCAAGGGGGGGGGGGTGGTTACTGTCCAGCGCCATTCTAGCACAATCCTGGACCTCTGCCACAGGCTAAAATCCAAACATCATTTAAGTATTTTGGGCCAGCCATAGATTTTAAAGATTTTCAAGAATTTTGTTTGGTTAGGCTTAAACAATACAAATACTTCATGTAGAGAGATGGGATAAAATCTCAAAAATGTAAAGGTATAAAATTAGTTAGTGAACTTCCAAAAGCTCACACAAACAGTATATCTTCTGTAAGTCTGATAGTAAAATACTTTAATGTATAGGTATTGTGTACACCAGTAGAAGAAAGCACTAGTGATGGTAGAGCAAGTACTAGCAGTAAAAAAGGGAAAGATTCTAAAGAAAAGAATAGAAAGGAAAGTGCTAAACAGAAAGTAAGTAAACATATTATTCTAAAAACAAAAGAACATTTTACCAAATATTATATTTTTGATTGTCTGTACTTCAGTAATGTTTTACTGTCCAGTTTGAAATTCCATTTGCTTATTATATGAAGTCTGTATAAATATAAATTGTATAATTATACATTACTTAATTTAAGCATTCTTTCAAATGATGTGTTATCAAATTGACAAAATATAGCCATATTTTCATTGTTATAGGACAAAGGCAAGAAGAAAAAGAAAGAGCCAGAGATAGAATTGGCTAGGAGCGAACCTGAGGTGAGGGTGTTGGCAAGGTATCATATTGCCCTCCTTGATTTTGTAGAAGGTGAGCACAACTACTCCAACGAATGCATCTTCGAAGTCGAGGAGCAAAAGAAAGCAGAGAAAGAGGAGCAGGATGAAGTAGAAGGGAGCAAGGTTAGTAGATACAGTTTTTCTTCTATGTTTGTTTAACATATTTTTTTCTGAGCTGATGTATCAACATTGTTATAAGAATACTGTAGGAATAATTGCATATTTTTGTCACCAAAATGGCCATCATACCAAGAATGGCTGGAGAAGTATCATATCACAGTGGTATTGTGTGTAAAGCCAAATAAAAACAGTTTTGGATCCTCATAAACAAATTTACTATTTGCTATTTTTCAAAGAAACAATAAGAAACATGGAAAATAAAAAGAATGATGATCTGAAAGATTGTTGTGAAGAGGTGAAAACATAAATGGCAGAATACATTACGTTTAAATTCATTTAACTTTATTTAAAAGCAATTTTAATTATTGGGGAGCTACAGTTTTTTCGATGATGTAGAACATAGCAACGTTATATTAATTTAACTGTGCATGTCTGGATGTTGTGCCTTACGTTCTATGTTGAGGCCACAATGAAGACAGTGCTCTATTAAACATTGGGCTCTCTGTTTTTGTGACATATCCGCATAAGAGTCGAAAAAAATTGAAATTGACCTAGAGTACAACGTAGGATGCATGCAGTCACGGATGAGTGAACCTCATTTTACACTCTCAATCAAAAGCTCTCTATTTACTAGCCTGTTTACCACTGGTATATAACATCGTAACATGAAACTAACAATTAATTATACTTGGCCTAATCAAAATTTTCATAATGCATTTTGTTTCAAATTAAATCTTGTGCACCAAAAAATACTAATTTGGACTTTTCTACTATTTAATGCTAGAAATTTGTTCTTCGGTATATACTTTAAGGTAATGCATATGAATGAACATTTGTGTGGTATTAGTAAACTTTTTATTATATAAAAGGATCAAATACATTAGGGTTACAATGTTAGTATAATTAAAAATAATAAATGTATATTGACAACATAGTTTTCATATATCCCCTATTTTAAAACTTTTTTATATTAAATTGCAAACTTTAGGAAAAGAAAAAAAGGAAGGACTCTGCGAAGGGGAAAAGGGGAAAAGATGGTAAAGTTTCTGACAAAGACAAAGGTGAGTTTTAATACTGTATTTCATGTTTTTTTAAAATTTCCAACATCCAACAGCAAGTACACGCGCCATTCACAGGATGAGAATGATGCTTTATAAACCAAGTCTCTTTATGAGGCTATAGGGAGTAGAGTTGATGTTAGTGGGGAGAAAAAGCCCTGCTGTGACAGGAATTGAACCCAGGACACTGGGCTCAGAAGGCAAGCATCTTAACCACAAAGCTATTCAACTCCACTCCATTGACAAATAAACATGTATACCCGTATATTATAGACATGATGTGCTTATATATGTTAGTGATGTCATCATGACCATATTTAGGCATGTCACATGTTTTTGTCAAATAAAATTTGATAATCTGGACAGAGGCTTAATGCAAATAAATAGCTGCACAATTTTCAATATTGATCAGTGTCATGCTATTTCATCAGATTCAAAAAATACTAAGAAGACGCCGGTAAAACCAGACAAGAAAGAAGGCAAGAAACGGCCATCATCGGGCAAATCAAACCAAAGTGAGGAAGTGGAGGAAGAAGCACCCCCTACTCCCATTATGGCAAACATCAAAGTAATGCTACATGAGTGGAAAACAGCTCAAGATTCTGTTTCTTAGCAAAATACAGATGTGTGTCTTGAGGATTAACAAATTTCACACATAAATAAATTTACTGTATATACCAGACTTACTTGTAATATTTATATTTATTTTTCTAATGTAATCATTTATTAGAATGGTTAAAAATTTAATTCAAACAATTAAAAGTGCCCTACAATATCTGATATAGATAAACTTGATAAAATATTCAAATACTTAATTCATATACATTGCGTTGTACGACGGTTGTATGAATCCATCTCTGACACTGACTGATTGTTGGTGGATCATCATTAAAGCAAATCATTGTTTATTATGGAATTCTCCCCAGAGAGCTGAGTATGTGTTCCATATGTGTTTAATTCAATGACCGGGAAACATAACTGTTCAGCTTGTAAGAGTGCAGGTGCTTTTAGAGACTCATCCTAGCTCCACAGCCACTGATTTTAGACTAAGCACTTGCTACGCACTAGCCCTTTACCACATGTCTTTACATGTGTTGAAAGTGCATGTTAACAGTGTAAAAACAGTGATTTTGTTCAGCTTACATTCAACAGCCTGGTCACAAGACAATCAAATCCATATTTGAATATACAGAAGAAATGTTTCCATGGTAACCTTTAGGTAGACTTCACCGCCTCCATCTGTAAATATAATGCAAACAAGATTAATTTTGTGTACATTTAAAAGTGTGCAGTATCTGAAAATGAAAACAATTATTTTTAATTTATGAAATTGTCCACCTTCTTACATAATAGTAAGACAAAACAATACGAACTCTGCTCCCAGTGAGGTCAGACGACGAGATACCTTCTTGGTGGCAGACTGAACAGATCGTCATTAAAAACGATCTGTTTTACGCTTGTCGTGGTGTTCTCTCCATGACTGTCGTGCGCAGTGAATGCCCGGTTTAATAAATAGAATGCAAGTTAGAAGGTGTTTATATTTTGGACATATATAGAAGATGAATAGGAACTTACCATGTATATTTAAATCTATAAAATAGGCAAGATTATTTATAGCAGTACAAGTTAATCTATTTTTAATTGAAAGTTCATCCAAATTATTTTCTCAATCTATTTTCAATTTCATTTAGGTTTATTAAAAAAATTCTGATTTTGTAGTAAAAACTGAATTGCATCACAATTTACAATAATTATGGTAAAACATTTAGATAGAATAAACATGATAAAAACACAAAACCAATTCAGCTTTATTGTATAAATATACAACCTACAAACTTACAGCTTAAGAATCTTGTCTTTGCCACCACTTGCTACACGCTGACCATCAGGACTCCAGTCGACAGCATACACTTCATCAGCATGCCCAGGTAGGTCTATGGATAGTTTCTTAGTTGTTATGTCCCAGACTTTGAGTGTGCTATCTGCACTACCACTGCAGAGGAGTCTACTATCAGCTGACCAAGCAATCTTACAATAAAAAATAAATCATTAATTATTAGATAACTAATTTGTGGTAGTACATGCTTTGAACCTTGCCACTATATGTATACATGCTTGCATGCCATTTATTTAGTATACTGTACTATATTAATTCAAACAATATGGTATTAAAAAATCAAATTCTTTTTCAATAATAAATTCATTTCATAATATATATCAAGGTTTATGATAATTTAAAATTACCTAATATTTAATTCAAAAAAACTCATAAAAGAAACTTTATGATGATTAACTTCATATTAATGTACTCAATAATTTATTCATAAATCTCCATAAAACAAAAAAATTAACCAGTAATGAAATAACGTTTTGTCTATGCCCCTTGAGGGCTAGATACTACAGTATGTTATTTAGTAGCAGTTAACCCATTAAGATCGAGTAAATCCAGAATGGATGAATGATGGGATGACTCATGAGCCAAAAAATAAAAATGAACCTGTCCTAGAAATTTCACTAAAAAGTCAACACCACACATTTCCTGATAACTGAATCCCCACGTAGGCACTTCATTAGTAAACATAATACCTGTAGAGTAAGGCAGTATGGAGCGTAGACACATGCTCCTGCTGGGAGCCTATTTTTAATTTTTAAAATTAAAGCGCATAATCTACCTGGTAAACTCTTCCTACATGACCTCTTAATGATGCTATAAACCTGGAAAAAATGTTTAAAAAAAATGTCAACTATCATCCACAAAATGAATTAACTGCTAAATATGTTAATATGAGCGAGCAAGAGAGACGCATTTTAATTTTTTTAGCAAATGAAATTTGGCTTACTTTCCAGTCCGCCCATCCCAAAGTTTTACAGACTTGTCAAATGATGCACTAGCTATGAGTCGGGTGTCTGGAGAAAAAAGAACCTCATTGATCGGTTGCTGATGACCAGTCATGCGTGCTACTGGCTTCTTGTCATCTTCAGGTTTCCACAGAAACAGAGTAAAGTCATCTGACCCTGAAACTAGTCGTTCTGAACATCCGTCCTGGGATACAAGGAAATAATACCATAATAAACTTTTAGAATAACAGAATAGTAGTAAGAAAAAATAAGCAGAGATTTGTCACAAATAAGACTAACCTTGACTGTATTGTATCTATCAAGAGCTTTTTTTGATAATTCTTCACCTAAATAAAAATTAAAACAATGAAAAATTCAAATAGTATAAATTGATACACATGTATTCAAATATAGATCAAAAGCCAAAATAATAAAAAAACAACAATGGTGTGTGAAACAATGGCTGAATCTCAGTAGAAATACAAATTTGGTAAGCAACAGTTAAAAAGTAAACCTAAGTAAACAGCCACAATTAAAACCAGAGCTTTCAGACAACACTCTGGTGGGCGTTCCTTTTTCCGTACGACTGTTGCAGGAGAGAGACGTGTCATCGAGACTGATGTTTTCTTGTCATAGAGAAAATAGATATATTTTCTCTTTTAGTGTTTGCTAATTTGATTATCTTGTTGTTTTGATGTCTTTCTTTTTGATTGTAATTTTTGTAATTTTTATTTTTTCTTGTTAGGATGCACCACCCCTGTGTTTGAGTGCCACTGATTTAAAAGTGCATATCCAAATAAATTATTATTATTACTTTCTCAGTGGCGAGTAGTGAGTAATGTATTCAAATATATAA